AAAATCCAGCTGTGTCCTGTATGTCAGAGATGCAAATACTTGCTCAGAAGTGTAGTGGCAGTATCATAGCATAGTGATACACCACTAAATCAAGAAAGGTCAAACGAACCAGGTTTTTCAGAAGCAATCAGAAGAATCAGCCAAGACACACACTGGCTAATGCATGCAGATAAAGAAGGGAGAAAGGGAGAAAACAAATTCTTCTAGATTTTTATCCTAATCAATAGGAGAAATCTTCATGAGAAACTTGGGCTGGAAGGCAACTCGGGTCATTTGTGATTTTTAAGAAGGTGGGTGAAGAGTAAGATAAAGACAGTGGCCATCAAGTAGGCAGACTTCAATAGTCTAGAAAAATTAGTAGGTTAAATGGCATTGAAAAGGAAAACCTAAAACGGGACAGAAAATAATTGAGGTGAACTAGTAGTTTTCATATAGAAATGACATTATGATAACTTGCAATTCTGCCCTTGATGAAAGGGAAGAATAGGCAATGCAGTAGGAGATCAACTTAGCTCCTTCATGAGCTCTTCACTGAGCTCAAGCACAAAAAGCAGAATACAGAAAGTGCAAATTAGGTCTGATTGCTATTGACAAGTCTAAAGGAACACAGCATGTAGGGACACAACCAGAAAAGGGTCAAATGCAGGATGAGACACAACTGGCAAGGGATGCCAATGACAACAAGAGATTACTCTGCAAATACTACTACGAGAAACACCTAAAATAGGAAATGCATCAAATGAGAGAGAGATCCTCACTGCCAAGAACTAGGGGAGAATAAGTGAGTGCTAGGTCGATGAAAAGATGAAGTGTAGCAACTATCTTTAAAAAATACAGTTAAGGAAGAAAAAAAAAACCACAGAGGACTTACAGACCACACAGCCTAGGAAAATATAGGAAGAAATAATCAAACCATTTTTAAGCATTTAGGAAAGAACAAGAAGATAACCAGTAGCCAAGATGTATCAAGAATAAGTCATACGCAGTGTAATTTACTTCTGGGATGCAGTAACAGGTCTTATGGATGGATGAAAAGCAATCATTGCTATCTATCTTCTCTTTACTGTGGCTTTTGTTACCATCTCACGTGACATTCTCATATGCTACCAGCGAATAAATGAGTTGGAAGAAACAAGCACCACATGGATGTGAAACTGTTTGAAAAGCTGAACTTGAAGTAGTTATATACCAAAACAGAAGGACACACTGAGTTGTGTTCCACAGGGGTTTGACCTGGATCCGACATTAACAGCTCAGACAGTAGAATGGAGTATACACTTATTAAATTTGCAGAGGCATAAAGCTAAGTGAATTAAAACTGTATCAAGAGAACAAGACTTCAATTCAAAACAATACTGCCAACTTGGAGAAATGACATGAAGAATTTGAATAAGGAATGGTCAGAGGCTCTTTGTTGCAGCAGGGACAATTATCTGAACCCACAGAGAATGGGGAACAACTGATTAGAGAACAGTTCTTCAGAAAGTCATCTGGGATCACAATGGATCATAAACCAAACATCACAACAACATGTTGTTGCATAAAAAGTCATCATTACAATAGGATGCATAAGTGCAGTATAATCCATTATGAATGAAAGATAATCTTTCTGCTATCCTTAGCTTTGGGCAAAGCCTCAGCTGGAGTTTTGTTCCATTTCAGCACCTCACTGCAACACCAACTGGGACAGTGTCCAAAAGAGAGGACAAAGTACGATCAAAGGTCGAAGAGAGCACGTATGAAAAACCAAATATACTGTAACTGTTGATTCTAGAAAAGACTGAGGAGAAACCAAGATAAGTTAGTGTAAAAAAAAAAAATTCTAGTAGCATGGATAAGGAAACAGGAAAAAACAGAGGGAGGATACGGAATCTCCACTGAAAGAAATATTTGAAAGCAAGCAAAACACAGTGGTGGAATGACCTAGTCATTCTCTTTTTGAATGTGTCAGCCATGCTCCTTCCAGCCTATCATTTCTATGATCCTATTTTGCTGGCAAAGCACGAGGAACCAGAGCTGATGGAGGCATTACACCAGCT